CCGAAAATTTCATGGTTAAGTAATATTCCCTTTTGTTGAGACCAAATGTTTTACTTCTATTTTATTTGAACATCAACGCAAAGATTAAGCTTATACAGTAGTCTGATTAACTGTAACACGTTAATATAAATTGGATCCTTTTTATTATCTAGGATTAAATAGTAACAAGTGCCATAATTATAAAATGTTCACACCTCTTCCTCAACCATGGTGGGGCTAAAGTGGTCCAGAACCTCCATTTGTCAAACCCCACCACCGCCCTCTATTTCGCCCCAAACATCTATTTTTCATGACTGCTATTCATAATCATTATTCTAAAATTATGCTTTAGTAATATGGTAGTCATAATTTTTTTTTAAATAAATAAAAGTCATGGTATTCATGAATTCCCTTAACAAAGGAGTCAGCGATCATAATTTTTTTTAAAAGGGTTTCCTAGTCATAATCAAAAGGGTCTTTAGTCATAATATAAAAATTGGACCATTAGTCATAAGGTATAATGCTAGTCATACTAAAAAAAACAAAGCCACTCATTCATTATGACCAGCAAACACTTTTTGCAAGTTGGATGGCCGAGCGGTTAAAGGCAGGGGTGCCGCAAGGTACAGTTATAATATCGGCGCTGGTTCGAACGGCACACTTGTCAATGGTTCTTCACGTGGAACAAGTCTTCCCGGACATAAACATGATGACTATAAACCGTAGGCCCAGTGTACACAATTTGGCTTATATGCACTTTAAAGAACCCAGTACATCTTTCAAAACGATAGGGGGTTACTCCATTTCTCATTATGACTAGTGCTACAATTTCTTATGACTAGCGAACCTTTATGTTAAAATTATGTCTACCATTTTTTTTTTTTATAATGATTTAAAAGCAAACATATTAATAACAGTTCTATTATTATAATATTATAATGGCAAGTATTACTTTCTTCTTGATTCTGGCTGGAAAACATTTAATCATAAGTAGCAAACATTTTTCTTGATTAATTTTCTTGAAGTGCCCTGAGCATCTTATATTAATGGATATGTGTGCTATATAAAACTACATTATTATTATTATTATTACATTATTATCATTTAGTGCAGGATAAACTAATGTGTTAGTTAATGTTATGACTAGTAGACTTTCTGAACGACGACAATTATAAATAGCGAGTTTCACCTATTGTGATGTAATCCAGTGCTATTCAATATACATAAAATCTCTACTCTATAATAGTGCTGGCAGATGAAAATGTATGATGAAAACTTCGGAGCTCTATAGTACTGTACTATGAATGTCAACGACATAAATTATAATCTTTTCTGATAGTTTTTTTTTTTTTTTTCGTTGAGGAGAAAAAAAAATCTGCTACTTAGGAATCAACAAATTCAAGGAGACATAAGTATCTTTTAAAACTACACCTAACTCCTATTCAGAGGACATCCTGTAGGGGACACTTTATTGGTTGCAAAGTTGTCCACTTAGGGGTTGTAATTTATTGGTACTTCTTAACTCTACAGTAGCTATAGTTTACACAGCAAAGAAGTAGCAGATATCTTCCGTAAGACCATCCCACCACAAACCCATGGAGTCTAGCAAGATATCATGTATGCGTGTTAAGGAGCGCAGTCATACTCACACTCCTTAAAAATTATAGACTGATCTATAGAAAGATCTTGTAAAAATCAGTTAATTACTAAATACTTATTGTGTCATTATTATTAAATTGTTATTTTTTTAAATATTAATTACGGCATTGTACTATAGACGAGCTTTAGAGATGAAAAAAACATATATCGGTATAAATATTATATACCGTCTTACGCAATTGACAACGACAGCAGCGCCCTGGAGAGTTTGTGAAAGCTTATCAGATCAGAGGATGTTTGTAGGAATTTTAAGTTCTGTTAAACCAACACCTAGACAGGCCCTTCTTAGTGAACTGTAAGGTTATGTTTGAAGAGGAAAACGGAAAGGTTGAGGTTAGGAAGGAATTAGAAATTCTAGTGGGATGTAATGAATACATTTACTGATATTTATTTATATTTTTTAATATGTCGAAGTTTGGTTTACTACAGGTCGCTGTACCTTAAATTGCTGGTGTATGGCACAGTGGCAGGTAGTCACTCCTGCACTAACAAATGTCAACTGAATTATTTCCAAGTCAGCCTACAGTAGAGTAGTTTAAACACGATGGCTGCCAGCAACGAGTATACTCGCCCACAGGGTATTGCTAGGGCGCCAGGGACGAGTATACTCATCAAAATTGGGGTAACATTCTAGCGTTTATAACTTCTTTGTTATACATTGTAGAACCACAGACTCAATGGCTGGTAGTTCAGGGAAGATACACCTAGACAATAACATACAAGTGACATATGTATGCGTGTTGTGTTATGTTGCCGGCAGTACACTCGAGCGGCACAAGTGGGGACGCCCTTTGAACATATACCAACGCATGCAAAAAGCGGACAAGATAACTCGCACTTGGCATACTGAACCAAATGTTCTATCAGTGTGCAGCTAATATTTTACTGCCAACATATCAGACACATCATTTTGATGATACGACTAGATAATATTCAAAAAAGTATGTTTGTACATGTAAATTTGTTTTGGCACATGGGAAGCAACCTTAAAAAAAGGTCTGGCAGTCAACGTGTAAAAAATAAAAAAGATAGAAGTAACTACTGTAAAGCCATTGCTTCTCTCCACCCAGGAGTATAAGTGGGTACCTGGTAGGCTTAAATGTCAAAATGTGCTGATGTAGCTGCAGCAATGTTATGGAATACTCCACCAGGGAGCTTGAGTCTGCATTCCATAGGCATTTAATCCAATTACCGGTTGTATTAAGATAACGTGAAGTGGGCTTAACAATATGCGCTGTAAAAGTCTACCATTATTATTATGAACACTACATGTATTAAAGTACACTTCGCCCTCCAATTCGAGACTACCTTTTAGACCTGAAAACTTAGGGTGGTCTCAGGGTTGGTCTCCAATTAGAGGGCCAGCTTTGCGATAAAAGGTTGAAGAATTGTTATTTGGGTCTCATTATTGAAGGGTGCACTGTATGACTGCCATGATGTTATTGAAAGTGAACAGTGTATAAATTCTGTATGTTTTAAAGCTTGCTTGCTTTGCAGTTTTCCACGCATGTGAATGTGGCAAAGCCAGATAATTCCACGACTAATTACAATCAAGGACTTTCATTTCCTGAATAGAAGTTTCATTCATTTGTGAGTCTGCTCTAAATGGGACAGCAATTTAACTATTATTCTACTACAGGAGGTAATATAAAATTGTTATACAAAGTATAAGCCAATCTCGAGTAAAAGTCCACCAATTACAATTTATGTCCAATGTTATGTGTCAACCTTGGATTTTGATTTGGATTTATTTGGTGTAAACACCAAGGATAGCCCACGAAAGGCTAGAACAAGACTTATTTCCAGTGGGGTCCTTCTGGTGGTGATTGGGCAAAAGCCAAAGGTATGACTTTTAATAATAATAGCAACTAGCCATTCCAAGAATTAGAATAAAGGAAACTATCTGGAAAAATTCAGGTTGGTAATCAGGATTTTGATCCAAAAGTTGAAAAAACAAGATGTCCACAAGAGAGATATACTGTAAACCATGAAATATAACCGAAACCATAACTGGAAGAAAGGGAAGACCTAAAAAGCAGAGTCCAGCACAGCCGCACTGTTCACCAGCAATTTGAAACACAAAAAGGCCAGCCAACACAGATTTCACAGTTGCTCGTGTGGTGCTGGCATCTAGGTTGTCCAATCCTATAAGTATTTTACAGTATGTCCTTTATAACGTCAATATTTTTTTTTTTTTCAATGAGTAGATTAGCTGACTTTTACAAAATCTCAGAAAAACTATCGGCCTAATTAAAACAGGATGCAAAGCTTGGAAATTTCTGATTCAAAAGAGGCATCTGTGTAAAAGCACTCGCAGGAGTCTCCCGGAACTCGGTACAGCCTACCACACTCCAGCAAGCAAGTAAAAAACTCCCAGAAATTAACCCATATCCCGCAAATTCATAAAATTTCATGTTTTCCACTGCTTAAATAATAAATTGTTTCACGGAAGTAATTGCCAATGTGTATTAACGATGTGCAGCAAAATAAAATGAAATGTTATGAAAGCTCATAAATCAGGTCTGTGGCGGATTTAAGAGGAAAGTCCCAACCGAAAAATGTTTTCTAAGTTTAAAAAAAATGGAGAGAAAAAGAAAATAATTTTGAATTTTCTGAGTCTGAGATTGCCATCATCATAAATTTTCTTACCTCAGCCCTACTATGGTGGAGTTAAGGTGGTGTCACCCTAAATCAGTGAAAGCCCCTCCCTGCTCCTTTAGTCAGCTGTTGCTCAAAATATATCGAATGTGATCCAGGGGGGAAGCCTCTAGGTTTGACAATTTTTCAATTCAATTTTTCAATTCAACAAAACATTTATTTTCTTCCAAAGCCACTAGAAAATAAAAAATAGCAAATACAAAGTACAAAAATTGGAAGAAGGCCAGGACCCGAGAACTTGTTTGCAAAAACAAACATCTTGTGTTGGGCAGGCATGAAAAAAACATAAGGGAGAAAAAGCAGCTCAACGAATTTCAACCACAGAAAAATTTAATAATTTGAGATTTTGTTTTTCCAGTTTATTAGAAAAAGCACAATTTATTTATATGTAGAATATACAGTACATATAATTTATTTCTCCAAAGAATTGTGGGGTTCCCCCGAAGGGTTCCCCCGTTTCCCCCGATGGGTTCACCCATCTCCCCAACGCCTCCCCCTGCTTTCTTGAATTAACTTCTTCAAGCCTGGGACCCATGTGATAGTTAACCTGGTATATGTTGATTGATATTTCTTTTTTAATAAAAAGTACTAAATATTAATAATTCACCAAGACTCATAGTGCATTAGCTGTTGTAAATCGAAGTGAATAAATCATCAGAGCGTTGATTTTAAAACTACAGTAAACTGAAAAAAAAAAACCTTACCAAAGAAAACTGGAGTAGATCCAATAAGAGTTTGATAACTGGTACATCGAGGTTGCTGTCATCTTTGTTTTGCCACGTATTCTCTGAAAGTTGAAATTCCTTAATGAAGTGAACGACGATTGAATTGTCGCACTCGGCTACCTCCTGCATGAAGGGAAGATAAATAAAATGAATTTAATAAATAATACAAAACATTAACAATTCATTAGCTTTTTTAAGGTTGTTTGATTCATACAGCGATAGAAAGAACTTGGTCAAATCCACAGCATCCTCTATAATTTAACAAGATATACAAGAAGACACCAAAAATATTGTATAACAAGATACAAAATACATAATCTTTTTCAAAAAAAAGAAAGTTGTTACATAAATTTAAAAAAAAACAGAATTACAGTTGGCACAACTATTGATAACCCAGGCAGTGTCTGGGGGGGCTATATATGAGGTACTGCACCCGCATTTTTATAACCCAGAATCGACTGGGGGGAATAAGGTAACAGCACCCGCACTTTGATAACCCAGAATGGATGTTAATATTTTGTACATGAAATAAAGGACGGTAACCGTTTCCAATAGGCCACTGGATTTTTAATTACCATAAATATGTTATTTCTACTCTACACTATACTTTTACTTTTGCTTCGAACAGTAACATGATTTTATGCCATATTATTATGTACTTTACAAGCTGATTACAATAATATGAGAACTTTCTTTAATGCATCATGGCAAAAGGCCTCAGTTACAGATATACAATATTATCCCACTTGGCTCAAACACTTGGTAATTGCTGATATTACAATGTTATATTTTTTTGCATCAAAATGTACCAAGTACCTACATAATAAAAATTTACAGATGGCTGTCTTTGCATAATTTGTAACTTTACACCACAGGTGGGCTGCATGCGGCCTGAGAGCGATTTATTTTCGACCCACAAAAATTAATTAAAACCCCATGACAGCCCGCCAAGCAACACTTTTTTTTACAGCCTGACACTGATCATCTGTAAAAAGTAATAATATTAAAACTGGAAATAAAGTGGTGTAAAAACAATGCTTGGAGGTTTTTGGCAGCACACTTGAAACATCAATGTTCGGGTGCGGCCCTCGGTTTTAAATAAAAAATTCACTTTGGCCCTCCGACCAATTTTTATGCCCACCCCTGCTTTACACTGTCTTACAATCAAGTACATTTTGTTATGATGTAAGAAATATCCAGATCAAACATTCTATTTGACAACAACATGTGGTATGCCTAAATAAGGTCATGATGACATCACATCATGACCATATATAGGCACATCATGGCCATACAGGTGCATCAAATAAATCCAATCCAATCCAGAGCAGAAACAACCCAATCACATGTTTTATTTGTAAAGTTAAACTGAGGTTTTTGAACTAATGAAAACAGTCACAATATGAGTTTTTATTAATAGAACATTTCACTCTACTATTCCATGCTAAAGAGGATGTAAGTTCTCAATATTAATAAGATCACTACAAATGATGTCACCACAAGCACCTTCTATGACGACAACTATCAACAAATTTCTAGACCTTGTGACCCAAATATTATAAATTCCGGTAATTAAAATTTCAATGCAGCTAATATTTCTAAATTCGGAATCGGAGGCAAAGGCTAATTATGAACAGACACAACGAGTTATGCTAGAGTAACGTTAATCGAGTGGTGTGAACTTGTGTTTGCGGGGTAGTGAACTCCAGCGCTATCACGCAATTACTGGCGTATGATAGATTAGCGTACGCAACTGAGTTACGACAGTCATACTGTATTGTACATCAATGACTTGACCGATCATAATTTAAAGCGTAGATGTAAACAGGAAATAAAATGCACGATTACGAATACTTCGCACGAATACTTACGCTAGCGTTACGTTAATCGCGAAGTCCTTTGATAGCGTGGACATGAACTGACTTCCAAAGGTCTGTACACACTGCCATATATCAAGTGATAAAAATGTGATGCCCATATTTGGGTGTAATATTATTGTACGTCATCATGCCCATATATGGGCACAACACATAACATTTGTCCCTAAAATTTTATAGTGTGTGGATGGATATTTAACACAATAATTACTCAAACTCAATCTATTTATTGCTATCTCATTCTCAAGTTCACAATAGATAGGTTTCAATAAATATTTAAAAAAACTGAATTCAAAAGAAAATGGCCTGACAAAAAATCTGCTCATTTTTCATGATAAAATATTTCATTTCATTTATTTCTCTCTGAACATACAAATATTATACAATGCATTTAAACAGTAAAACAAACCCAAACAAAAATTGGGTCATAAAAACATTAAAAGAGAGAGGAAAACCAAAAAGTGAACTAAATCTACTATCAAGTGGTTTCCCTTAACAATACAGTGCAGTCTAATACTATCTAATACATAATAAACAAAATCAATATTTGCATAATTAAGTAAATTATTAATAGCTTCCAATTCAAAAAATTCAATAAAAAATACCTTTCACTAATTCACAATTTCATAATCTGTATGTACTGTAATTGGCTATAATAAATAATCAGGAAAACTGAATTAATTTTTATCTGTTTTCCATTAAAAGTTGATTAATCATTTTATCTTTATAAATGATCAGCAATTGAATCTATTTTTAATTGAACTGTTGCAACATCTTTGAGATTTTATCTCGAACAGATTCTAACTGTTGCCATAGCTACAGTTACAAATAAAACGGGAAACAATCATTACCAGAAAGGCACAAAAAACAGGTGATTTGCGGGTAAAAAAATGTTTCTACTTCTGTTTAAAGCGTGCAGCTGTGGGACAGGAAATGAGGTCATCACTGCTACAAAGTCTCATAGAAGTAGAGCAGGCAGTTTCACAGTAGTAGCAGCATAGTCTCAAAGTCATGTGATAATTATAGCCCCTTTGCTTGTATTGGTCGTGATATCGTCACTACCTTAGGGAGTCGGGTTGTGTCATCATCATTCTCAAGCTACAGTACTTAGAAAAAATGATGGGTTTTTTTTTTCTTTTTTACGGAAAACTAGGTAGTCAAAATATTTCTATTTTTCAGATGTTTATTGATATTCATAGAGAATATTGTAGAAATTTCATATAATGCCAAACAACTATTTAATGACGGTTGAGTAGTTAGGACACCTACTACTACTGTAGGCCTATAAAAATTATCAATTATCAGAACCTGTACCATAATCATTATCCATGTTATCACCAGTGTCATTCAATGGTTAAGATATAAAATAATAATGGGCTTTAATATTCGACTGGTTCATTTCGTTGACTACAATTTTTCGTTGAGTATTATTTTCATTCTAATGGTTCGTAAAATAGAATTCATTGACAACGAAAATTAACGTAAACCAGCGTGCGTTAATCAGCGTTAAGTTATCCATGTGACAGATTAGTCAGTTTAGCAACAATATTTGCGTTAATATAATTTACCTTCAATTTCAGAAAATAATTATAATATTTACCCACATGAAGTCAAAAAAATAATTGTAGGCTAACAGAATTCAAAAACTGGATGAAAACATAATTTTTTTTACGAAAAAACACATGTTGCCACAGTCCGAAGCAACCTTGATTACGCAGCGTGTATCGTGGTAACTATGCAGCCATTTTGTTTTGTCAAGTGTTTACCAGTTTTTCAATTCGACAGGTCATCTTCATTAAACTAGGATTTTACCAACTGCGCAGAATGACTAGTACAGCCAATGGCTGTGAACCTCCAACTTTTATATAATTTTTTTTTTTTTTTTTTGTGCAAATTTAAAGACAATTTGAAATGGGATGTCATTGTAGCAATGTTTCACTCACTGAACATAATTAAAACTGAGTTGGAGTGTGGGTGGAAGAAATTCTTAAAGTTCCTGCCCCTGTTTATTATCTAAGGATATTTCCGTTTGAGTTTCTCTTTCATCAACTTTAATAAAAGTTTGCTAGTTAAAAGAGTTGCTAAATTGCTAAAGACAGACATTGTTTATGTTTAAAATTTACTAAAATTTTATATTTATGTTAACAGTTTAATTGCAACAAAATTTAATGCCATTTACAATTCTAAGAAGAAACAGAAATTTTAGGACTTTGTTTTATAATGCACTTTTTGAAATAGCATTCAAATATACAATTAATATATTTGGTTGTTACATTTATTATTACTATTTACTTAATAATAATAATAATAATAATAATAATAATAATAATAATAATAATAATAATAATAATCAACATTTATAAAGTGCTCTACACCAGCAAGCCAACCCTAGAGCACACACAATCAGTCATATATTAATTAACAATACCATACACAATCAGTTTATATTTAAAAATACCTTTACAGTTAACATGACATTATAACAACAGAAATTCATGATCCTACAGTGTACAATACATACATACAATCAGTCATATATTAAACAATATCATACACAACACCAGAAATTCATGATCATGCTCCTACAGTGTACAATAATAGTCTGGAAAACATTTATTATATTATTAGAGAATTTGCATGATGTGCAGCGAGCTATACACAATTTTTGAGAATTGCTTCTTTGCATTTCAATATTAGAATGAGGAACTGTTTTAATATCTAATTAACAGGCACCGTTTAACACGTTGGCTGCCAGCAATGAGTATACCGGTCTCACAGAGTGTTGCTGAGGGCGCCAGGGATGAGTAAACTTGTCAAAATCGGGGTAACATTCTAACGTTTATTACTTCTTTGTTATACATTGTAGAACCACAGACTTATTCCGCTGGTAGTTCTGGGAAGATACACCTAGACAATAACATACAAATGACGTGTATGTTTGTTGGATGTTATGTAACCGGCAGTACACTTGAGCGGCACAAGTAGGGGCACCCTTTGAACATATACCAACCCATGAAAAAACTTGGTATAGTCAATAAAAAGTGCTGTCACAGTGCCGCCGAAGAGTTAACTTGTCCCCTAATATTTTCCCGCCAATTTAGACACATCACTTATTTTGATGACTAGATAAAATTTCAATTGTACAAAACAAAACAACAGCAAAGATTGACTGTTTTAAAACTGTTTACTTTTTCATCAACAGGCATCTTCAGCAATTTCTATTAGGTGCTTTATAACACTATTATTATTATTATTAAAATATTATTATTATTATTGTTGTTGTTGTTGTTGTTGTTGTTGTTGTTGTTGTTGTTGTTGTTGTTGTTGTTGTTGTTGTTGTTGTTGTTGTTGTTGTTGTTGTTGTTGTTGTTGTTGTTGTTGTTGTTGTTGTTGTTATTGTTATTATTATTATTATTATTATTATTCTTATTGTTATTATTATTATTAAAATATTATTATTGTGTATCATTAGGGTCCAATCTTAAGGGTATTTAAAATATGTTAATGTATTGCAATATATGATGCTAATTTTTACTCTATAACAGTGCCATTGATTTGAATAATAAATGTTAGATATCCTTTATTAATTTTATATTAGAAATTCTTTCTTTTTGGAAAACACTTTTCTTTTAACTTTTAGTTAAACCATTTATATTTTGAATAATAATAATACATTTGCATGAGTCAGAAATGAATTATGACTGGAAATATTATTCTCAGTGGGTAATCGGCTGAGTCAGACAGTACTCTATGGCTTCTATGATCTTAAGTTTCCTTTACTGTATTAGGCTTGTACTTGTAGTAGTGTCCCCTTCCTACCCTTCAATTTGGGCTGATTAATTTTTTTATCAAAAATTTTCTTAACACGATATACCCAAAGAATCGTATGTAACTCTATTAAAAACATGTACGATCAAGGCAGTAGTACAGCAGCCCTGAAAAAAAAAAGCAAGCAATTTGATTTCCATTATTTAAATACCACGGTCAATGGTGAACCAAAATGTTGATTGAGTGTTCAAACTCATACAGTATTTGTCTGCTTAATTTTAATAACAAACTTAAAAACCTCCTTCCTACCCTGAAAATTGTTTGCAGCTGGATGTTAAACAAGTAACGCTTTTACAAGACCTTACCCAGTATTTTATCCCATATTTTCCTACAGTATGTACTTGTTTTTGAAACAAAGAATCTTTTTTCTCATACCTCTAAAGCTCGGAAGATTTCATCGACGATCTGAGGTGAAAGGTTGACCTGCTTCTGGATCAAAAGCCGCTTGTTGATCAATCCTGATGCAATATTTGCCATCTAAAATAGAATTTAACAGAAAAATGATCAGGTATAACTTGGTCTAGCAAAATCAATCAATCAATCAATCAATCATCAATCAATATAAAGTCAGTCAACTAATCAATAGGTCAGTCTGTCATTCTATCAATCAATTAATAAATTTCTCAATCAATCGAGAATATAAAAATAGATGACATACAACATTGTAAGAATTTTTTCAATAATTTGAAAGGTGAAAAGTGGAATTTCTATAACTACAAAATGACACGGAATAGAGTACAGTGGTATTGAGTTTTGGTGTTTCTTTAAATTTTCAGCAAAGTTGTACTTTGCTGAATTTTTGTACTTAATAGTTTCATGTGTTGTTATTATACAATTGTCTTTGTCAATGTGCATTTTTGTTTTTTAATTTAGTTTAGTAAGTTTTATACAATTGTATTTATGCACCTCACAGCTTTTTGTAGAACACCCACTGGGTAAAAGAGTCTCGTGAATAATAAACATCAGTTTGTACCCTACTGTATTATGACTTGGTAAAACGATGTGGTTGACCCACTTTACCCCCATGATCTTTCCTAAGTGAACAGTGAACAAAAGGGATTAAAAAAACCATTCACAATTGTGTTTCTTTAGGCATCCAGAAAAGTTAGAAGATCATAATTTACCCCAAAAACATCTCCTTTTTATACCCTTTTATGACTATTAGTAAATGGTGAGCTCGACCCACTTTTATCCACATGATCATTTCTTTAAAATGAACATTCAACAAAGCAAAAATCATAAAAAACCATTCACTGTGTTTATTCCGTCCTTCATCCAGTATACAGAAACACCATGTGTCTTTTATAGCTTTTGTTTGGAACTAGTCATGTAAAGTGCAAAGTCAACAGGTACTTCAATGGACAAACAAATCAACATGTGACTGTGCTGCAATACTATCAGTAATACACATTCTGGTCCATTGCTTTAAATGCAATTCAACGTTTGTGACTTTTTTGTATTTGATCTAAATGTTGGTAATTTGTAATTAAATATGGAAATATGGAAAAAAAGTTAAAACAATTAATACAAACACATCATTAATGTTTAGGTTACTATTAATATTATGTAAATATCAATACTATTTATAGGTACAATTAATAAGTTACAGATACTTTTAATAGGTAACTAAAACAGAGTGTCAAATGGATGGCATCAACAGATGGTGCTTAACAACATCTTACATGGAGGTAAAGAGAGCAGCTGAAGATTGTGTTAGAATGATGGAGACCCATGGTGGCCAACCTTCGTATCAAAGATGGCACGTTACCATCATGAAACAGAGTGTACAAATAGTGATAAGATACTGTAGGCATAGGCCATCACAAATAATGATTTGAAGTGAACTAGCTTGGCAAAATTGGACATATTCAATGTAAACACCAAGGATAGAAAAATGAAAATCCAAAGAATGACTTATTTCCAGTGAGCCCTTCTGGTAGTGATTGGACAGTAGACCGGGAGACAATACCCTAAGACTGAGTATGCTGTGTTCTCGTGTCAATAAGTTAATATTGCACACTAGAATAACAGATTGAACGTCTCATCCGAAAAACAATGAGCTATCATACTTGCATTTCAACCCTTCAGCGGACGCAAGAGAACAGTGATAGGAATTGAATTGGGGATCAATAGATCTCCACGGTTCAGCACAGAAAATATTGCTACCACCAGTTTAGCCTACTAAGCTAAGCTGGTTAAGGTACTTGCCTCCCTGCCAATTCCTAAGCCTCATGAAGGGACTGCAGTTCAAACTCCAGTGCTTACTGTCAGTGTAAACTGGTCACCCTGCATATTTTTGGCCTGGTGTGAATAAGAATTTCCTCTCCTGTTAACAACACACTCATTGTTGCACTGATCACTCTTTCCCTTGCTAGAAACGGCAGAGTGAAAGCCAACAATGGTCTATTTTTATCTTTTCTATTAATATTAATAAATTCTTTTCCAACAAAGGCAGTATCTATTTGGGGTTGATTATACCACAATTGGTTAAAGTTCAAAAACCCAACACTCTACTATAAATATGATTCCTTGTACAGTAAAATGTATGACCATAGTATATTCAGTTTTTTATGTTTAGACATTCTGGATTTCCTATAGAATACTGCACAGGATCAGTATCAATTTGGCAACTTAAAAAATGAGGCAAAAAATCTGCACTGATAAAGTTGAGCCAACCTTGCATTAAAGGGACTTGATATTACATTATTATTGAATAAACAATAAAAATGAAAAAATAAATGAAAGAATTGCATACCAATTCACTATCCTTTTAATAAAAAAGAAAATGAAAATATAGAGATATTAAATTAATAAAAAGTGGGAAAAAGGGGAAAAAATAGGGAAATTTACTATTAGCTACAGCAATCCTTATAATGGAAACATTCTTTTACGTGGGATACAATACTACATGGTATATCTCTCATTGTTAAACTGTTGGATCATGTGTTTCACGACAGCCAATAAGGTAGCAATAGTAGTAATATGCTCAATCTCAAACTGAACGCTAATCGCTGGTTTGTTATTAGATTCACTAACTGTCTGTCTAAAAGTGAAACAATTATTCAAAAATTATAAATTAAAGTACACTTTACCTGTTCAGATGTCTTAAGCTCATGCATAAGTTCATAATCCGTAGCAGAGCGGGGTCGGAAACTAATAACACTGCCTCGAACGTCATCCTGCAACATCTGTGGTTCCGATGTTCTATTTCCTTTCTGTTTAACCTTCATCTTCTTCTTTTTCTTTAAACCATCCATTTTTTTTAAAGTTTAGCTTTCAGTTGTTTAACGATTATTGTGATTAGAACTACAGCTGTTTTTTCTTCCTTTCATCATAATTTCTAGATAGTTTACTAGAGCACGTGGGTTTCTTCAGATTTATCTGAAAACAATTATTAAAACTCTTAATTAAAAGAAAGAAATCTTCCATTGTTTTGTAATCTAAATCATTTTATGACACAGCAATATTTAGACTGATTAAATCAACATAATTTAATAGTAAATTAGCATTGAAACCAAAAGGTCAAGTCTAGTACTTGCTAATGAAACAAATAATAATACCTTCATAGTATAAATCATTCTGACGTAAGGACAAATAGAAAAAAAATTATGTTTCTCATCTAATAATAATAATACTGAAAATGTGTTGCACGGCGCCGGTACTTATCTGTAACTATGTAAAATGCTCAATGCATCAACACAAACAGTATTCTTCAAAGCTAAAAACTACATAACATAACAATCTAATTTAAAAAGTTCTTTTTAATTATGTATCGATTTACTTTATCGATAACATATCAACAATCGTTTTATAGATTTAAACTAAATTATCCTGGGGTCAGGAAGTGTTGTTTTTTTTTTTTCAGGATACACCCCATAGCATCAGATATGCCACTATATGGCTGGCAAAAGTTAACTATACATACTGTATCACTTTTGAGGTTGTAGTAGCCATTTTTCTTCATTATAAAACTATGATTGTTGTGTTTTTCAGGATACACCACATAGCATCAGATATGCCACTATATGGCTGGCAAAACTATACATATCACCTTTGAGGTTGTAGTAGCCATGATTGTTGTGTTTTTGTGGGGGGGGGGGAAGGGGCATTCGGTAGTTTTCATTGTATTATCACATCCACTGAAAAGCGACATTACGTTTGCTTTCCTTTAATGACATTGAGGATTTTCTCTTGATAGATATTAGTTGTGAGTTGGCTGGCAAGCTTCATACGGTAATTAATTTCCCCAAGGGGAAAACCAAACACATTAATCCTATCCTATCAAACACATTCTCTATCACCATTAATTGGGTACTACCGGTAGGCCTACATAGTTTGCAAGTAGAAGAGACTATTTAAACGGAATTCTTTGTATCCATTTTGATGTACATTTAATTGTCAACTTTTCATGAGTTAAATGTGGGGGGGGGGGAAGACACTAAGGTGATACTATAAGAAAAATAGAGTCCGGAGCTATTTATTAGTGTCAGACAGGCTAGTAACCAGTGGGTAGGGGGTTGGTGGTTTGGCCAAACCCCCTTTTTGACCAGTTTCCTAAGTAGTCATATTTAATCATAAACTTTGTTTACTAAAAACACCTGTGAGTTACACTTGGCCTATAGGTAATCCCCCACTCTCCTTCATATGAACCTGGTTTAAATGGGGCTGTCCATAAAGTAAGAGGAAAAAATCTACACAATCAATACTGTACTGTACACTAGTGAATTTGATATTACAAAATAAATGCAAAAACGTTCAATATTTTTCACTTGACTCTGAGACAATGAATGAATTATAGTCTCATTAGGCCAAATAAAATTAATTTTTAGTTTCATATCTGAGATTTGAAATAATTTTTTGATGAGGGTATTTATTATTGCTAATTACTATCCTATCACTTTTTTTACAATATATTTGCTTCCTTAGGACCCCCCCCCCCCACACTTTCTTAGGACCCCCCCCCCCACACTTTTTCTTCCCCTGGACCCTACCAGGACCTTAGGCATTGCTAGAACCACAGTGCATTTGACTTTTCCACTTGCTTGCACCCTATAAAAACAAATTTAGAGTCCCTTTCAGAAATCCGCTTCTACTGGTAAGAGCCTGAGAGAATTACTGTAAACCTGGAAATCAATTAAAAATGCTGAACTTACTGAGAGTATGGTATGGTGCAGAAATGTACCTTGATAACATCTACACTCAGAAAGCCACTATTGTTAATAGTACACAGTTCAGCTTACTGTATTGAGAAAATATTTTCTCTATGTTGTATACTGCAACAGCTGTGTTTTTATTGTAGCATAATGACCCTGACTAAACATGTATCATCATTAAAAAAAATGCTAACTTTTTATCTAATTTATTTGGAATTAAAATGAAGTGCAGTAATGTGGTTGTACTTGCATTCTAATAGCTTTAGTAGGTTCAGCATGATTTGCAAATAATTCTTTTCCAATTTTGATTAATTATAACTTACCGTAACCTTAAGAAGTTTTTAATAAAATGGGATAACGTCCTAAAAATAAATCTTTTCTATCCTACTGACCCATATAACCAGGCTCTTTCAAGGGAAGTGGGTTCGTGGGAGTCAGTGGAAGGGGTCGCATCGATTACTGCTAACAGGGAGCGAAGTTGGATTCACGTATGACCGTCATACAACACAGTTTAGTGCCGGCTTAAGAGGTCTGTACACCACTTCAGTCGAATGGCCGAGCTGTTAGCAAGGGGCCGCCACTTACAGCCATAATATCGACGCTGGTTTAAACAGCATGCTCACCTTTGGTTCTGGTGGTAGAACAAGTCTTCTCGGATACGGACTATAAACGATAGTCCCAGTGTATACTTTGGCTTGTGTGCACTATAAAGAACCCAGTACACTGTATATCATTCGAGACAAGCAGGGGGATACCCCGGTATTGGTACAAGTCACCACTGTTGTGAACGATGAGAGTTGCACTGGGTTCCTGGGTACCATACTGTAAGACACGAAGAGACCCTTGGGGAGAAGAAATTCATTAGTCGAGTTCCTATTCCACAAGCCCTTTGTATCTATTGGCAAAAAGCGTTATCAAAATTTCTATATTATTTTTTTAACTATTACAGATAATTATTTTATGTGTACAGTACTTTGAAACTTTCTGTCCCATCGGATAAGCATGGACCTTTCTCCCCACACACAAATGAACATACTGATTTGCTAATCCAAACAATGCTATAAAGAATACCAGTCTTGTATATTTTTTATAAAGCATGACTTTGGGAAATCCTAAACCATTAAAATCGCTCCACGAGCCTTCTCCCTTATAGGCGGGCTCTTGATTTGGATAATCATCTAACAGTTTTATTTTACACTTTATTTAAAATATCCAACATTTTTTCTTTGCTTCAAAAGTATAACTATAATTATACAGTGAGACATACTGTACCATACTGCTTACAAATTAAAGGTTTGTCAATGTATTAATTTTTTAGGAAAACCTAACATTTTTTACATTTAGTTGTCTGCTCCTCTCTCAAAGTGTTTGTAGTGTTGTAGTATATAAACCTCATTCCTTAGATCTCCTATATCATTGCATTAGGGTAATAGTATGCATATAGCTTGGGTTTTATTTGGTTTATATCATGCAGGCCTTGCTCGCAGGTATTTTTTGACCTTGACTTTCCGTACTAAGGAGATGTTTAACAACACTCTGTAACTGCAAGGAAAAGCGCTGTGGAAGCAACAAGTAACACGTGTTGCACAGGTTTTCAGACTTCAAGAGTTAAATTAGTGGATAGCCTAATCAGAAATTTAAATATGTTCAAATATTCTTGTTGCTGATAGAGTACATTAATAACTTTACTTAACAATCAGGATTCATAAAATTATGTAAATTAATCAGCTTGGAAAGTGACAGAAGGATGAAATGCTGTAAAAACTGTGAATAAAATATGTCTTGAGTAAAATATAAGAAAAATAATCACTCAACTAAACATATTAAAGGCGTGTGGTTTTTTTTTTTTTTTTTTTTTTTTTTTAAATAGATAAGAGCACTTTTCCCTTAAAAAAAAAAATATAAATATTAGTATTCAATTTCTTTAATTACGTTCATAGTTGCCAGATAGAGCAGTATATCTTAAAACATGTGACTTGTGCAAGCACAGATCCAGTAGGGGCCACAGGGCCCATTTTGATGCTAAATTTTGAAATTTAAATGCATATCAAAATCAGCACTACTCACATCTATTCTAAAAATATTTAAAACATAAAAAATTATGGATCCACCTCTGTTCTGTGGCATGGTTCTAGTTATCTGACTTTTAGGCTACAGTTGATTTTGATTTGATTTTACTCAGTATACCACATCAACAAGAAATAGCAATTAACAATAATTTTCTTAAAAGTTAAACATAATTTGAAAAACATTAAAAATTAAAGTCAATAAAATGTGATGTGAAAACCATAATATGCTGGAATATCATATGAAAGTTGTATAAAAACGACTTATTTCCAATGGGGGTCCTTGAGAAAAAACAATGGTAATCAAGTTTAAAAAATTAAAATGCTGCAGAGCATAAAATAGTAGGTTTAAAGCATATTATAAAGAGTTAAAACAATTTTTAAAGTATAAAATTTCAATGTTAAAATTAAAATAAGTTAAAAAAAATGTAAAAAGATAAAAAGGAAGGAAAATAAAACATTCAAAACATAAATCGGAAAAAAATAATAAAAACAATAACAAAATAAATAAATAAAATAAAAAAATAAGTAAAAAAAATAATAGGGAATTTTAAAATGCTCATAAAAAATTTTAAAATGTTAAATTGAAAGTATTTTTAAAAGTATTTACATTTTTCATTAAATACAGGCCTAAATCAATTACAGCATTTCTGTTTGATTTTCGAGATTGTACTCTATGTTCATTTGACAATTAATATAACTTTTTGTACTTTACACAATCCAAATCATAAATATGCTATTATTTAAAAACAGTAATACATCTTTATAAGCATTAATAATTAATAACACTGACAAAAACTCCTTCTGAGTATAAACAAAGCAGTCAATAAAATATACAAGGGGAATCCAATGCTCAAAATATGAGTCATTCAAGTTACTAATTCAATTACTTGAATGTAAAGGTTGCAATTGAGATAGACAGCAAATATGGCAGCATGATAAACTTATTATTAAAATAGGAAATAACTTGGAATATGTAAATGAAATTATATTAATACAATTTTAACACAGACTTATTAGACACAATATTTCTGAATAATGTTTAAATTCAGATATTTAAACAACATCAGAAATGCTGGGATAATGTCTGACAAGGGATAGTACATGTTTTTATTGATGATTAATAATAATAATAACAACAATAATTAATAATAACAATAAT